CGCCATTTTCATTATTTATCGTTTGTTAAAAACATTTTGGAGCCTTCATTATATGTGGTTAAAGTTTTTTTATAAAATATTTTTTATTTACTCACACATTTTTATGATTTTCGGAAAGATAATAATCCGTAATTTCCGCACAACGCTCGTCTATCCATCTTAATTGAGTTTAGTTCCTGTCACATTCACATCAAGCATCCGCAAATGATTTTGATGACAGTTCTTACAAATAAACTGTCTTCTTATAATGAAACGTGCTATTAAGTGCTAATTCGCGTCCTTCTTATTTACTAGCTTAACTGTTTCCAATCTAAAATGACATACTCATCAATTAGCAAGGACATACGTCAGCCTTGTTAAAACTAAGCAAAAGAGACAAAGAGAAAACTGTGCCCGCCGTGGAAATCGCTCCTTGGCGCGCAGGAGTCAGCGCGCCCGATGTGAGAGGCTGCTGCTGTGCCCCAAGGTTAAGGTGTCCCAAGGTAGGTCCCACGATATCCTCGCGTGCGTTCTGATAAAATCCTAGTTGAATAAAACGCCCGCAATCGAAAGGCAACACCGGTCTATGATTGGTTAACGTAAACGTACACGCCGCGTCACGTAACGTGTATATAATTCGATCTTTGCCTTTGTACTCTAGTTACTTAGTACGTGTCGTGCTCTGCTGGAAACGGCGATATGCTGTCTGCCAAGGTACGTGAAAGGCGTTTTGTGATTGAAAACAAAATATAATCATTTCGTAGGTGGACATACCGACAAAGCCTTTAGTGCGCAGGATGTGTAGGAGTTCTCGCGATTATATGCGAGGATAATGTATCAGATTTAATGTTCCGAAATAAAAGTAAATAACATTAAATGCGTTTGCTATTATAGTTCTATCTAAAAAAAATTTGGATGTGTTACAGTATTATTTATTATATAAAAAAGTGCATAGTTACAGGATTATTTTTTTTTTTTTTTAGTAAAATATATTGAATTTAGTAAAAAATATGTGACACTTTTAATAGCATTTAAAACACAAAATATAATACATAAAAAAAGTGTTTGTTGATACTTGTTTTATATTTAGATAATTTACAGATTTGTTTCATGTTATTTGTTATAAAGATTGAGGGAATAGATAATATTTAGAAGCATTGTAAGACTACAAGTTTGTATAGCAAATGCAGATTATTAACAAAGAAAACCCGCGAAAAACTCGCATGCAAAGAGACGGCACACTTTCTATACGCAATTGTTGTTTTATTTCGATTGCTTAAATTTGTCTTAATGCAACCAGATTCGAGGTCAAATGTGTCTACGCGTCGCGAATCTCACTTATTAGTCCACACCCGAGAACGATGACACAATCGTGACACAACTGCGTGTTTAATTTATGAGAAACTACGTAAATAGTGTTTTTACTACACGAATCGCAGCATTGCTGCATAATTGCAAGAATATGCATATACAGTGTACTCTCTCATTGAGTAATTTATTATGCAAGGAAAAGTAAGCAGACTACAAAATAGCATTGCATTTATTCACTTTATTAAGAAGACTTTCAGCCATATATTTTAATATATGTAACTAGTTTAATTTGATCTATGTAGATTTATCTCATAAATTATTATACAAAAATTAATAATAAAAATTGTCAAGAGTTCTATATTATGCTAACATTTGCTAACACAGACAGATTATTATATAAAACATATTAAATAAATTGTTACATTATTTTTCTGGTATAGTTACATAAAGATATCCTTTCTTATGCACGCATTAAAGTCTCTTAGGCTGCTATTACTGCTGTGATTTTCTGTAGATTACCCTGCTATTTGGACTCGCAGCACTGTTACAATTATCAACAGCAGCACCAGACAGCGCAGGAAAAGTGGAGATGGTAAATGGATTAGCGTACGGTAAGTCAGACACCTATTTCTTGACTTTCTAACCAATTTAAAAAATTAAATATAATTGCATAATTTTAAAAATTTGTAAATTTATAATATATTATAGTATTATATTTGCAAAAATATTTATTTAATGTTAAATAATTTTATCATTTCAATTTTTCTCAAATTTATAAAATCTTCAAATACAATAAATAATCAAAATAATTTAAAATGTTTCAATGATTATTTTCAAAATTAAATGGTTAATTAAATGAGATAAAATATTTTTGTTTCTGCTCTTTTGAGTTGAATTCAGATTATGCTCCAACAGAAAGCAGCACTAGTGATTATTTGTAACTGTCTTTCCTTTCACCCGACAGAAGTAGCAATCTGTTATAGATATCTAGATACTTCAGATAATTCAACAGTTTATTAAATTATTATAAATAAATGTGTATTATTTTAGAATACAAATTGATACAACTTTGTAAAGTAATTGCTTCCAAATTGTATAACAAATTATCTACAACAAATAAATTCGATTAAAAGAATCTCATTTAAAATTTGAATTTAGCCAAAAATCATTCTGCAGACAGAAATAAAAAAAAACTTTTTAAAATGTTTTCAAGGTTTTCCTAAATTATAATAGCTTCGCATAAAGTGTTTTTCTGTCAGAATAGTCGTTTATTAAAAAAATTCGGCTTCTATTTTTAAACAATATACATTTATGGTTGATAAATAAACTAAAGTCATAAATTCCACGAATTTCAAATAAATTAATTTATGACATCATTGATATTAAATTCTAAAATCGCATTTTTTGACAATAATTTGCATTTATTAATGCTTTCATGCATATTATTATCTATATTACTAATAAATGTCAGATTACATCACTGTTAAATTTTAACTGTAGACAAAATCGATTTATGATATCACGGTTATAAAGTGCAATTGCACAATACAATAAATGTCAAAAAAATTAAAGGAAAGCATCAAAATTAATTATATAAATAAAATACTTAACTATGCTGCACAAAATTTGTTTTACTTACTAATCGCATAATTGCAAAAATTGTAATGCTAATAATTAATGTAATAAATTTTGATTGCAACATTCAACAGGTGGAATTCCATATGGTAGTGTGAGCGGCATGCTCGCGAAATATCCGGGATATGGACAAGTCAATGCCGAAGCTCAAGCTAGACAATTGAACATTTTTAGTAACACTCAACGGCCGGTAATTATCACGCCGAATTTCCGAGCAGTTCGACTTGTGGGAATTTCACCTCGACCTGTGCAAATTTACAATCTTCCTGGAGTCATCGCTCCTGGTGTCGTCGGCACGATCAGCCAAATCGGCTATTAATCTACTGAAATTAGACTGCCAGAATGATCTCGTCGTAGCCATAAAAATCATAAATTAATCAATCAAGCTTCCGTCTTTTCACTATAAAATTCTTTAGCAGTGAAAGTGTTTATATCGCAAAATTATACCTTGAAGCACAATATTAGCAATTATGATATGAAATAAAAATGATAAAGGATTATTAATTAATGCTGTCCGTTGAATTAATTTACGCAACATGGAAGTTGCATGACGGCTTTCACGTAAATTAATAATAATCACTTTTTGAAAATATTTTTTAAAATTTTAATTAAAAACAGAAACTTTGCGACATGCAATATTTTACGCATCTACACATTGCTTATGTGTGCCACCATTCATTGCCATATCATTTATAATATCAAGATTTATATGTAAACATACAGAAATACACGAATGTCTTTATATATATATATAATGCTGTATTGTTGCGTTTAATTACTCATAAGATTTAAATACAAATTAATGCAATATTTAGCGTATTTCAAAATTTGTCAGTATATCCTCTTCTTCATTAACAAAATTAATAAATTTATTTTACTTTTGATTCGGTTTTCAATTCAGACGATCGAAAAATATAAAATTCGCAATTTTGCGATCCACCCTTTACACCCTAGAATTCATATCGAGGATAAAGTCGTTTAAGGAGAGAAAGTATAAATGACATCGGGCTCGATGTCTGTCCCTTAGTCGTCAAGAACCGCACGCACGATGCATTACCAATCGCATGTGAGTATTCTTGCATATTAATCACCATTTGCTACAGAAAAGAGTAAAAAAAAATTGCAATTTTATAACAATTACAACTTGTGATAACGCACTAAGTAATAAAGAACAAAAATTTCTCACGCGCAAGAATTACATGTTACAAGAATAGATCTGTGTGAAGTGTGAAACCGATATATCGGAATATTTATCGGAATGCGTGCGATTTACGTTTCCCTTTTATTATTCAATATGCGAGTAAATCGATGCGCGTTTATTACATCGGTATGCTACGAGAATGCACGGATGCAAGTACGCGTCAGTCTTTCGATTATAAATTATGGAAGTTAATTTCCACGTAATTTTATATGATAAGCCAATAGATCGTTAACGAATTTGTTTATGAGGCTATTAACATCTTATTCCTTTGATGTTATTCTGAACTGAAGTATATAGCTTATACTGCTTTTTTTTAATGGCTGCAAAATGTTTAAATCAATTGCAACCAAAAATGACATATTAGTGCCGAGAATCTATTTTATTAACTTTTACAAATAAAGAGTTATATTGTTATTTAATATATAGTTGTCTGTGTATACGTAACTAAAAATTGATGCAATCAAATTATTATAAATTTTAGATATTAAATTTCATTGTTTTATTTAATTTTAAAATAGTATTGTTTGCATTCTCAATTATTGCAATTTATTAATATGTTTATTTGGGTCATGTGGAAAAAATATAAAGACATACAAGTTATTTATTGAACGAGTGAAAAGAACTGCAATTCCATAATTCACTAACGCTCTAACTCCAATAGGTCAAGGAACTTAAGTTAAAAAATAAATAAATCATAAACGGAAGCCTAACAACCATCATTAAACGCATCACAGCTTAATGAAATTTTACTGAAAAAAGTACAGAAACGTTAATCTAATTTTAAGTCATAACAATGATTCGTCTTTTATTGCTGTGCAAAGAAATATATACGATCACGCGCAAAGCGCACGATAGAAAATCAATTTTATGAATGAATACTTATAAATGAAGATTTAATTTTAAAATACGCTGGATAGACAAGACGTTATTCTTTTTGTTACAGACTCAACAATCCTACATCATTTTCGACATTTTATTTTTGCATGTTTGTTGCTATTTGTGGCAATAACGTATTGATAAAATTTTGTTCATATTCTGTTTTAATAAATTACACATCCAGAGATTTTATTATCATATAAATTAAATTCATGGATAAAAAACTGATAAAAAATAATATTGAAAAAATATATGTAACATATATGTCAATAAATAGATATTTTATAAGCTTAGTACTTTCATGTCACAGAACGTAACAAAAATTGTGTCATTCACTTATGTGAATACTCACATTAAAAAATGTTTTCAAATTATTCCTTTAGAACTACGTATTTTATAAAATAGCGGATAAGAAATAATAACCGGTAAAATATCCGTATGTAACACAAACGCAACAGTGTGTCTTTTGTTATACGAATCCTACATAAGTCAAAAGAAAATCTTCAATTACAAGTTCCGTTACCGAGTTTCTCTTTTTTATTAATGTATAAATTTTCTATTTTCTATATATCTATTTAAAAATATTGATATTAAGTTTATAAATGACTATCTCTCTCAGACTTTAATTGAAAACGTTGCGTTGTAAAATTCTCCCTGCACTTTTAAAATTGTAAAATTACGAAATTAGTTGCTAAACTATTATTTTGTAAAATTGTAAAATTAGTTACGAAACTATTACTTTACCGGAAGCTCCATGTGTTCCAACAATGTTTCCTGCATACTTCGCGAAAATGCAATCGGCATGACCGCACACAGACCGATTCTATTATTATAAGAATTGAGTTCCATGCGACGAGACGCAGTAATAAGCATGTCCAGGACTGATATTTGCGCTGATGCGTGTGTGTGTGTCGGCGCTTCTTTTCGCTGAGATTTTACACAATCCGTTGTTACTGCGACGGTGCGTTGATCGTCGGATTTATGTGCATACGCGCCTCTTCTTTTTTCCTTACGCAATGGCAAATAAAACATAATGCTACGGGAGATCATACCGGTCACGCTACTCGTGTTATCGTGTATTACGCAGCTTTTTATTAGTTATGTAGTTTTTTACGAAAAATCTTAGCTGTCGAACGTTGTCAATTATTATCGTTTCATGTTCAATTGTGGCATGGCAAGCAATAAAATCTTGCGATTGTTTCGATTCTAATATTTTATATATTATTATTAAGGATAAATTCAATTTTTTGATAAACTTTATACTACTTTACAGTACTAATTAGTACTAATTGGCATCTAAGATATAATTACTATTTTTATTTTTAATTTAAACATTTGAATAATAATTTGAATATTAATTATGCTAGATTCTTGCTAAATATGAATCTTGATTACTGAAATTATTGTTATCGCTAATCTTTATTTATTATAACTTAATATTTTATCAAATATAATGTTTTATCAGTTTCTTTTAATTATACAATAATGAATAATTATACTATAATTATACTATAATTATACTATAATTAGACGTATTATCGTGTGACAGGAAAAGGACGATGTTTGAGATTGCATCACGGTCAGAATAAAAATACTTTAATGAATTTGTGTTACTTATTAAGCTTTTAATCCTGCAATTGTTACTACGCTGTATGCAATCACAACATCAATATTGAATCAGTAATATTGAATTACTGAATAAAATATGGAATGTAATACTGAATTTTCTTTCGTTACAGATATTCGCACTCTGCATCGCACTCTGGTGCGTAATAAATGTCGGGGAAACAGCAAGGAGCGCAATCAGTAAGCATAATTTAAGAAAGAAGAGTTAAAATTTTTAACTAATTCTTTCCAGTTCTGTCAAAATTTTGGCATCTGTCAAATTGCTCTTTTCAATTCAGATCCGGAAATACTGGCGAATTTCGCGAAGAATGTAGCCACAGTGCTGTCACCGGCCGTATTAGGCGATATACAATCCCGCAGAAATCGCTCGTCTCTACAATCCGTCCTGACGGGACCCCTTCAGCTAGATGATCCGGACTCGACCTCAAGTCGAGACAACATCGTCGACAACACGTCAAACGCAGGCAGTTATTATCGACCAGACTCTTATCCTTACAACGGGCTGTACGAAAACTCTGCTGAGAGACTCGAAGAATCCGACGAAAACGAGCAGCTGAAAGAATCTCTGCGCGATGAGTCTTATCTACGGCAGGAGCGTCCGAACTTTTACAGACCTTACGATTTTCCAGTGAACAATAACAATGCTGAAACGACTGAAAAATCAGTCAATATTGCAAACATCGAGTCATCGACCGGTAATATCGAGCAGTCGTCCACTAATCTATTTCCTTCTTATCACGGCGTCGACTTTCCCAAAGCCGCCTTCCACGGAGCCACCTCCTTCCTAGCGAAGCCCCACGCAGGTTTCTACGGTTTCGGGCCTTATGGACACGGATATCACCATCATCACCATCATCATCCGTACGGAAGCGGTGAGTCGGGCGAGGCTCCGGAGAATGGAACTGATCATCGCGGCTACGGTCCGCCTTTCGGCGGCCACGGTTACGGCCATCCCTATTCTCCGTTTCCTCACTACGGCGGCTACGGTCACCACGATTCCTTCTACGGACCTTACGGCCACAATGGGAACAACTCTAACGGACATTACGGGCATCACGGGCCTTATCACGGCGGTCCCGACTTTTACGGGCCTCCTTACGGACACGGTTACAATCACGGCCACAATCACAACGGCAATGGTAACAATAATGATGACAGGCAAACCGAGGAACCGGCCGACGGCGATCAGAATAACTCGACAAAAAACGGCTACCCGCACCATTATGGACCCCCTTTCGGAAAGCCGATTCTGGGTTTCCCATTCCCTTTCAGTCCTTTTCACCATTTTCACGGAGGCTTCAAGGGCGGCCCTGTGGGCGGGGTTGGCTATCCTCTATATGCCGATCCGTATTTGATTGGTTTTCCTTTCCATCACCCTTACGGACCTTTCTTTCACGGTAAGAAGTATCTGCCGAAGGGCAAGCCCGACTCGGGTGAATCGGGAGAGTCAACGGAAGCACCAGCTGGAGAACTCTCGCAGAATGAAAATCCCGAACGTATCACCGCGTTGAACAATGAAGAAGCAGCGCCAGCTTCCAGCTCGAATCAGTACAAGGCGTCGGGGCGGAAGGGTCTAAAAGTTAGTCTGATTAATTTTGAGAGGAAGATCTGAACGCAGAAAATATTAATTTTAAACTTGACAGAAGGGTTTTTCTGTTAGAAAATGAGTTATTTAAGTGCTGATTATTGCTAATTATGTATTGTTCTTCAATAAAAAATAAAATAATAATAATATGGAACAGAAAAATGTCATGAATTCCATTTACTGCAGCATCACAAAAATGAACCTTCAAATATGTAAAAAATAATGATCAGACAATTTTTTTACAGAAAAAAAATTAAATAAGAATTTTACGACATTGTATTATAATCCATAAAACTATTTGCAAATAATATTTGGCTTTTTTATAATCCTTTGCTTATTATGTAATTTGCAGTATTTTGTATCAAATACAGATGTGTTATATAAAGTTTAACATGTATATTTTTCCATCGTCACATCATTATCCTTCACAATATAACGATATCGGATTGAAAGGACGGAAGAGAAGTCAATAATTAACGACTGTACTAATTACTGATACTGCGCGACATGCACATTTAAATTGATCATCGGTTTCTACCGCACGTTCCCACAATTATGATATAGAAAATGTTCTCATGATTATTGCCGGCCTTTATTCACGCAATTATTCTTTGTCTCAACAATAATGCATGGCGCGTACATGGTCCAGTAATTTTCGTGGCCTCCATACGATTTTGCATATGTGTCGCTTCTGTATGTACTGTGCCAATGACGATACGAAACGCGATTATGCAAAAGTTAGTTAGTTACACTACGTTTCCAAGTAATCATAGGTAGTTACATCAGTTTTCCTTATGTGAATAAAAATATTAACAAATCTCAAAACATTCGAAAATATTTGATTTATGTAGAAGTATATGATAGAATGCAATTCTATGATGATAAGGTATAAATTATAAGATATAGATAAAATTTCAAAAGATGTGACCATTGTTAGACTTGATAGCATTAATTTTTTATAACTATTTTGGTATTTAGAAATTAATCACACATTACAAATTTTTCGAAAATATTTTCTAGAATTCTTACAAAAAGACTATAAAATAATTTGTTGTAGCACACAATTCAAGGTGAATGCGTAATAATTTACGTAACACGCAGGAAATTTTTTACTGTTCTGAATATTGATTGCAGATTCGATCTGGAAATGGAAAATAGATCGAGTCAGCGAAAAATGTGGACAGTCAACCGTGAAGGTAAAGGTAACAAGAAAAATATATTCCGATAAAAACAACGACAATCACGGAATATTCATCCAAGTTTTAATCGATTGAAATGCAAATCACGGCCATATCATTCTGGCATTTTTGCATAATTACATTCTTGCAAATTTTATAGCAGAGATGAAAAACAGAAATGACTCACGTGAAATGACTCAATTGAAGAAGATAGCAGAACAAATTATAGTCTCAAAAATTGTTTAAAACTTGTTAATATTAATTACATGTAAATTATTAAGAAATAGTTTTAAATATTTATCATATACTTTGGTATCATCGTATACTTTAATAACTTTCTACAAAAGATATTTGCATCTTCTATTAAACCTGTTATATACAAAGATTATACGAATCATGTGTTACATCTGTTTAATTACAATATAATTAATAGCGCAGATCAAAATACTCGCCGAAAAATTAATGGAAATAAATTGGAATATCAATCTCAAGATATGTTTCCTGAAAAATAATGACTCTGCTAAATTAATTTACACGTCTGATTAACAACTCCAACTCATGTATTTCATTGATATATTACGTATAGTGAGCAATCTATTACATAAAAAGTTTTATATCATTATATATTATAATAGTATTTTACATTCTTACATCTTATCTAAACTCAAATGTCAAGACTGACATTAATTGCTCTAATTTTAGCAGCACAAAAAAGTGATAATTTTCTATTTCAATGTTTTTCATTTTTTAACCCATCCTCTTTTTAGCAAATTAAGGGGCAAATGTCGCCAAGAATGTAAGCTAAGAATGTCGCCACGAAATTGGCAAATCAAATACGCATATATCAAGCGCACGAGCGCAATGTATCAACATAATTTCATCAACTATACATTTTGTAACAGAATCTCAACTTGCACAATCATCCACGTCGCGTAAGCGTCGTGTGTCATCTCTTTCTGTTTCGATTACGATACTCGGCGAGGAGCGCTTCCTCGTCCGGACCGAACCTGCTGCTGGGATTCACCGGCGGGCCCCTGCATTATTGCCGGTGATAAGCGATTAGCGATTACAGCAACGACATTAAGTATCCGGCCGTTGCGACGTATAATTCCTTCTTTCTTGCTATAATGAGGGGGTTACACGCGCTGCGGACACACGCGAGCAACCGCGCCGGGGAAGAAATTTGGATGTCAAGGCGCCCATCGGGCGGGGACTCACGTGCTGCACATCACCGCGCGCCGTGTTTCTTTCATAATGCAAAGTCGCAACTCGCATAATCTCAGGGTAACAATGAAGTTTCCTATTAGCACAACAAACGGAGGCCAATGCAAGGCCCGGAAAAACGTACCGCTCGTGGGGGGTCCACCGTCTCGCTAAAGGACCCCGCCTTTGTTATAAAAGAACCCGTGTCGCAGAAACGATAGACAGTTCTGTGCTACGACAACATATGGAAAAAATTCGGTGCAATTGTTGACGTTAGCTGAGCCACACTTGCGATCACGAGAAAGAATGGCGTGCCTGAAGATTGTAAGTGCATCGAGAACTTGTTTCGGAATTGCTCTAGAAGTTAAATGTGTCAGTAATTTAATTCTTTGCGGTACAAATCTTTTATTTAAAAATTTATATTGAAGGATTTTTAATGCAACTTCAAATCCGTATTCTAATATAATCTTTATAATGTAAATGTAAGATTAAATTAGTCATTATTAGTCATTAATCTATATTAATCATTGTAACGCAACTTGCTCAATTATAATACAATCTGATAAAATTGAAAAAGACATTTTTAAAATATTAATATTATTTTCTGCTCTTTATTGTGCCGTAAAGAATAAATTGAATAAACGCATTGCAGAATCGAAATATTTCTGCGCTATTAAATATTTTTTTGCAAATTTTCTTGCAACTGTGCAGTATTCCTTTCGTCATCGTAGAAAACATTCAATTGTAAAACATTACGCACACATTAAAAATTTTTCGTATTTTAGTTTTGCCTTTTTGTTTTTACCATAAGTTCAATTATATGGCTCAGTTATGTCGCTCAATATTTTTAAGGCAAAAATAAAAAATTTATATATATGGAAATCTTTCTTTTAATATTAATATTTTTTTAAGTTATTATACAGATTTTTCATCGAATTTTCATAATGGAATCATTCTTTACTTGCTTTGTAGTATTTTGTTCTGCTTTTGGCCGTTGCAATCGGCGTGGCAGTTGCAAAACCAGGATACTTGGGCGGCTATGGATACGGCGGCTACTATCCATATTCTTATGGTTATAAATTCCCATTCTACGGCTATGGTCACGGATACGGACATGGATATGGTCATGGCTATGGAGGATATGGTATAATTTATAATAAAATCTACCTAATTTACAATACAGTTTACAGCATGGCAATATTATTGCAGAACCATCATTTTCTCGTCAATGTATTGTCTCTCTTCTAAAATTTATATTATTATTAATGCTTCAAGTATTTATAATGTTTAATATTTTATTTCTCGCATTTAATGTGATATTTGAATATACTAATTTATTGTTCAATTTCGGATTATTTGTTGTAAAAAATTGATTAGATTTATTATATTATTTGCAAAATTATATAGCTTGTGCATACATTGCTGGAAATAGAACAAATTATAGCAAAATGTTATTCAGCTTTGAATGTAAGTGTTTACGACAGTTTTTTTATTACACAAGATGACATCACACACGCAAGCTATACAGAACAGTTCATATATACACGCTAATTTGTCTTCATGACAAAGAAATCGTTCAACAAGCATATGTACACACTGTATGCTTAACAAACAAATCATTCACACGAAAGTGTTGAAGTATTTCTTTATTATTGTCTAGGATATCCGCACTACGGCTACGGTCATTATGGTCATTACGGTTACTATTAAAGCGGACACAAAACAACGGCCTTCTTCTGGATTCTCTGGAACACAATCCGAAGAATGAGCTCAGTTCAAAAGCGATCTACGTCATTTTCTTTTTATGATATGTTCTTGTCGTCAAGATTGATCTACTGCCCCGAAAAACATTCCTATTCATACATGTATCAAATTGTACAATATTCAATACATCTGTAACAAAATTTAAAAAAAAAGACAGAATCACTCAAAAAATTTCAGTATCATAAAGTATTCATATATCACGAATAATATCACAAATATGAATATATAAAAAAATAATAAGCTATGTATTATTGAAAATTAAATCTTACTAATGTTATCTTTGATAAACAGTAATGTTTAATCACTAATTATTATTGCAACAACTTTATACTGATAAAATAAATCAGCACAAACATAGGAAAACATATTTTACTAATTTGTTTTTTGTCTTTAAAAAATTCAGTAACTATTTTGTTAAGTAGAAAGAGCGATCGATGTTTGAGCGCCTTTGTATGCAAAGTGTGACACGATTGTTGCAATGGAATTTCGAGTGCACTCTAAGAGCGTACGTATTTACCTACACATATTTTTATTGAATTCGCATGTCTTCCTAACGTCACTTCAGGACACAAGCTTTTTGTCTTTTTATGATAAGTTACGGCGGCCACACCTGTCTCCTTTTCTTTTCACTTTTTCTTACATCACGATTACGGCAGCCTACGATTGACCGTACAATATCAAATGCTTCATCATGCCCGCGGCTATCTTGTCTGTTTGAATATCTTTGATATTTCAAAGGATGTATAAGTCTTTGCGCCAAATTACGTCTATTTTCGATGATTCATATTTTTATAAATTATATTGCGAAATATTATAAAATATTTACAGTGCAAGTCAAAATTATATTGTAGGCTTATCAACGATTTACAATAATTTATGCATTAATCGATTCAGTAATTAGATTATAAGATTATTAAAGTATGCCGTGTAAACAAAATTAAACAGTAGAAGAATTGTCTAAAAATTTAATATCGGCAATTTTTCTTTTTTTGAAGTATTTATTATTCTAAAAATTAAAAATTCTAGGCATAACCAAATAATCTCTATGAAAAAAATAATCCATCTATAATATTATAAGTAACTAAATATATAGTTATTTTACATAACTGGCTAATAAGAAATCGTGTAACATCGACAATAGCAACATTCAAATTGTTATTTACAACTTCGAGAGATAACTGATAAATTCAGAATCCGCTATCCGCAGAATCCACTAATTAGATGCATGCATGTTAAATAACACTAATATACATATCCCGGGAACCAAAAACCAGCTTGTTTGGCAAGATCATGGGAACTGACTTATAACATTCCACATATTACTTCAAGGGCGTAGCGAAGGTTACCGAATTTTAACTACAAAAAGCGAAAGTAGTCTGTAGTCTCGAAAGAAACAAGTTCGTTCGCAACATCGCGGGAACATCTTCAATCACGTGACCTACATACCTTGCGATCCAAGAGAACGGTAGAGCATGTAATATTTTAGCTTTTTATAAGATATTATATATTAAAATTATCACAATTACGTAACTCTAACTAAGCAAAAAATGTGTTTAATAATTTTTAGCTATAAATTAATCTCTAATATTCGTTAAAATTTTTTGGAGTAACACGGAAAGAACATTTTTGCTAAATAATTTAAAAATTGTGCCAGATACAGATTTGAAAATAAATTTTATTAGACATTCAAAATCAATAAAATACTCGATCTTTGATGGATCGTTAAAACTTTTTACTGCGATGTAAAAAAGATCGAATGCTCTGTTCATAAATTTTGATTGTCCAACAAAATTTTATTTTCAAATCTGACACAATTTTTAAATCTTTTTTCAAAAATGTTCTTTCTATGAACTAATTAAATTAAAATTTTATTGCTAAAATATACAATAGTTCATAAATGATTTTGACAGATAATTTATAGAATTACGAAAGTAAGTAAAATATCTTTTGAAACAAGTTTGTTGATAGTTATTATGATGTTTAATGCATCAGCTACCATAAGTAACATTGATGACGTCCTCGTGACATTTTAATTTGAATTGTAAATTTATTTTAAATTTTTGTCCACGAGACTAAACTATAAGTGAATTATTGCTATTACTTTGTTATGTTTGCGATTCCCCAGCAATACTAATTAAAATATTTCAAAACATTAGCAGTGATTTAAAAGTAGTGAAAAAGAATGAAAAATTTGCCTGATAATGCGAGAAAAATTGCAATTTGCCGAAAGTTAATTACTCTCATTTAAATTGCAAATTACCTGAGAATTCCGAAAGCTAAATGAACGAACGTCAAACACAATTAACAAGGAAAATACCCGCACGCTTCCGTTCATTCTATCTCACGAAGAATGCATTGATTGATTCTACTGCATTACACGCGAGAAATTGTAGTTTTATTCCTTTTACACTCTCTTTACATACAATCGACCTGATGTGCGACATCAACAATGACGAAGATTATGCTTGAAACCGTTTCTCCGAACCGCTTGTAATAAATTCACACTGTCTTTCAAAATAGAGTTAATAAATTTCCGAAGAATAATAATACAGATTTCTCGACACGACTCATCGATGACGAGCTCAGAAAAGTGCAGAAAACCTGAAATTCATCAACAACAAAATTCCTGCGTGCATTCCTAATGAATTGGAAAATGTTAAACAGAGAATGCATCACGTTGATAGTACTACAACTTATGCATTCTGCAATCTGCAGTGCAGCTAATATGTTAACTACTGAGGCGCGGAAGACGGGAAAAATTTGTTACTTCGTAATGCTTCTTACTTCATAAGTAATACGTAATAACAGATGATGAGGAGTGAGTTCCATTAATATTTCTTTTAGAATGTAAACCTTTTTTCTCCTGTCCGCCAATGTATCGGAGCATTAATCATTTAACGTCATAATATTATATGCTTAAAGTATCATAATTATTATATGATTAAGATGTCCTGGAATGTATGTTGATTAAAGTCGAGAAAATAAAGTTTTGAAGACATTTTAGAAAGAAGGTAAAAATACTTAATGCTATCTTGTTAAATCAATTCGTGATTATAAATATTTTTAACGGCCTGATATTTTTTATCAAATAAAAAAATGCATCGGTAACGAACTTGCTGTGTCCTTCGGGATTTCTTAATTCCAACGGCAAATATCCGGAACAATTTAAATGCAAATATATACAGTAATCCCCCTTAAATTTATATATCGATGTCTTAATACTAGCGTTTTTTTTTTATTTTTACTCCCCTTGTACCATTTCTTAAATAATCTTTCTTATTTCTTATTTTGTACTTTTATATAAACTTAAATTCTTTTGTCGACCTGAGTATAATTTTATTTTGTCTGTATAATGTGTGCATTTTAAAATTAATCCGATATTTTTAACCTTTTGTGCGTGTCCTTCAGGATTCACAAAGATCGTTTTTAATCAGAATGCGAAACGCCATTGAGCAACGTTTATTGCAGTTGTGTTAATGAGAATCAAACGTGAATAAATTCTTGGAAATTCGTGAAACGGAAACTTACCACGTAATTACCCACCGAATTTATGCACCTAGACGAGACGCAGATTATTCTAATTAAAAACTCGAGGTCATTAGCTAATTTTGATACGTAGATGTAGATACGCTACGAGCCTTTAATCTACTTCTGTAAATAAAATCTTTTCTTTGATAAAAGTACATAATATTCTATTTTTTTCATACGTGTGTTCAATGTGCGGATAAAGCAGATGTACAAATTTATGTTATTCTCACCGCTAAAAATACTTTTTAGAAATTGTTTGTTTTCAAACATGCGAGCGAGATAATCAGCTACAGAATAAACGTGACACAAAATATCTATTACATATGTACTAGCCTACGAACATGTCAAAATTTGCATAAATTTGCAGATGATTAATAATACATAATATTATAATATAAAATACATAATGTTTCGCGTATTGTTCGAGTGCTTATTAATAGATCTATAATAATCATGATTTTGCATAGTCGACCTTAATTAAGTCGGTAGTTTTGAAGCGCAGCGAAGATATCGCTTGTATTATAATTAAACGTTCGTGATGTGCGAGAAGTCTTTATCGTTAAACGGGATGTATCGTAAATTCTCGTTGTTACGTTGCGACTGTAAAGAGGTGTATTTGTATTGCAAAAGAAAACTGCCGCTTAATGAGCCAGAGAGATAGATCAAAATTAATTTAAAAATTATAATAAATTTCCTGCATGGTTTTATTCCTAATAAATATTTTTTAAAAATTAAATTTTTTTATAACAGCACAGAAAGTTGCTTTATCATATTTTTAATCAATTTTCCCTTTGATGCACAACAACGAGCGAAGGTCGGTGTAGGCAGCGATCACGACCTTTTCTGCGGTTGTATCGAGCCCCTTCATTCAGTTGAGATCTAAATACTAAGCGAAAGGTTAGCCGCACGAGAAGCGAACTTCATTCATGGATAATTACAATACTCTGTGAGTTATCTAACCTTCACGGTAAGATCAATAGGATATAAGTGTCGAGCAGGAAGAACATTTTAGCTCCTAATTAGTTTTGATAGCTGCCAATCATAGATCAAACCAATGATGTAACTTTTATATAATTATCCTTAAAAAAAGGCATGAAAGATTTTTATTGTTACCTTTTTTCCGCGATACTAATTGATTATCTTAATGCGCGTTGTACGTTACTTCGTGCTATTGAGCGGTTATTATTGCGAATATGTTGCATACTTTGACAGTTCACAGAAAAGATTAGTACTTCAATTATATTTAAAAAAAAGGTTAATAGTTCAATTTACATTTAAGAAAGAAACAAACGGACGTAGATTCTTTTGCTTAAACATTAATTTTTACGTATGATTTATACGGCTTGAAGGATTCTGAAAAACGACAGAAGAATCATATACTTCGCAGATGGCAATGGAAATACAAAAAGAGATGATTTAGTGGTGGAGTGTAATATTTGTCACAACAACTTATCTCTTTCTATTCAAAAATGTCTGGATTCTCATACAAAAAAGACACATTCGGACAAATTGAAAAATACTATTGAAAGAAACACATAACACAGTTGGTTCATCAGAACGCTTCATTACTTGAAACGGGCACAATATCTATATACAAAATATTTTGCATATGCATTTACAAGTGGAAAACGCGACTTTTTTCCAATGAGTAATCAACACCTACGCTTCTGAAATCATCGCGCAAGTTAACTCGTGATAAAAGAAATTTCTCACGTATTGAATAAAAAGTATAGTCCTTTGCATTCACGATTATGTTTATTCCGTTTACATAAAAAATTCATTAGAATTGTTAATAGTTGTTCATACATCGATAACTAAAGCGATTAATATTTTAAATATGATAAAATTAATAATGACAAGATGTGCAGAATCCCTATTTTCTATTACTCGTTAATATCGCAAACTCTTATAAAATATTATATTAATAAAAAAAATGATAATTAAGAGATACAAATTTTGCCAGAAATTTCTTAACAATTTAGAATACGTTATGTGCATGAATTAAATATCTCCAAAAAAAATTATCTTTAACTTTTAATTATTGTCATGTACATCTGTTATAACTGTTCATTAAACGAACATAATACCAGATAAAAATTGTATAATATGTTTTAACTTAATTGGTTTGCGCAAAAATTGCAGGCCACATATTTAATTACTTATAATTTTTAAAACAATTGATTGTAATCGATCACTGATTATCTTGAAACAAGTGCGAAATACGCAAAGATTGAAGATTTTCTCTACGCGAGTTCTATTCACTTACGCGTTAGCAAACAGATTAGGTACTTACGCTGAGTACTTACGCCACTAGCGTTAAACTTTTATTGGACCTTGCTATAGCCGGTGCATCGCTATGCAAGTCGACGAAGCTCGCGTAATGTTTGCGATGACCCGTCGATGATCGTCAAGCATCATTGTGTTTAAGCATCTAAGCATCCCAGACTCGACGACGAGTTTGCAAGACCCAAGGAAAGACGGTAATGCAACAACCTTGCGTAACGAAAGTCTGCCGGCTTTTTTCGCTGCTTTTTTCCCGCGTACTTGAAAAGTCGTCACATTAAATGTCTCTTCTGCGTCTAGATGCAATTAATCGTGAGATCAAATAAAATGTCTGAAAATTACGTTAATATGCAAATAAAATTTTTGCATTAACAAAATTGTATAATACTGCAGTAAAATATCAAGAAATAAGTCATTTGGAGAGAATGCACATTAAATTAAATAATTATATATCTATTTTATTTATGTAATTCTATGCTATTAAAATGGCACTTAAAAATACAAAAGAAATAAAAACTTGAGAAATAGAAAAGGATAAGAAGAATCCAAATTAAATGCATTAAACATTTCTCTTAAATTATTATGTATAATCACTTTTAGGGAGTATTGCTTCTTTTTTCATTTCCAGAAATTTCTATATTCTATCTTTATTTTATTTCTCTCTACTTCTTCACAAAATCTTCTTCACTAAAATCAGTTAATATTTTTACGATGAGAGAAATTAGCACAAAATTATCAAAATTCTGCTAACTGCTTTCGTGGCAGTGGTTATAAATCGATTAGTCTTACATCATGCGCAGTCTATAATACTTTTACGCAATGGTGAAATGTCAACAATATCTAAATTCACGAATTGTAAATATTCCTCGTCCATTCGCGAACTTCGCGAAAAAGCGCTCGTCACCCGCGCTTTACGACAGCAATTAAATTTGACTAGGCTTGCCGGCTGCTACGTTACATGGATGCGTTACATCAACAGGATCGGTAGACACGTCTTTGATAAATGCACATGCAGGATGGTAAATGACGTTTACGATAGTAAAGTATGTCAAAACTTTGCCAAACGATCGATTGCAGTCATCAAAGCTTATGACACTACGATGTTTATCGCCACTTTGAATCACACCCTTAGAGCCTAAATATGTATGAAAAAATGGTTACATAATGCAACCATGAAGTCTATCGTCACGTAGCTATGCTGTTGAATAGTAATTATGCCCATTCTTTCGAATCTTTTCTTTTAAGTGCACGAAAAACGAGAATGCAAAACGAGACTTGATCTCGTTGGCATTTTGGCATGTTATATGACAGTCTTCTTTTAACGAACTGCGTAATGTAAATTTCAGTATTTTTATCTTCCAATGTAGAATGTAGAAAAAATTGCATCACAATAGGATGCAATATTTAATCATTATCAGATGCGTTATCATGTGACATTTGACCAAGCCGAACTTGATTAATATTGATTCACCCACTATTTGATATTCATTCAATAACGAGAAGAAAAAAAGAAACATTGTGTTTAATTTAAAAAAAGATCATCAATTTTACATTATACATTACACAAATTTCGAGTAATGTTTTTTGTACAAAAAATCTATTAACGTGTAGCTTTTTCAATGAAGTTAGCATAATGTTACATTACACTATTTTGATCATTAATCAGACTTTAAAAATTCGATTAGCAACATGGTGTATAAATCATATGTTGTCTTAATGTTCGACTCGATTTGGCATCTTCTGATAGAATAACAATATCGCCGCAAGCTTGTTTTAACGAGACATCATTCATCATGCCGTCGCCAAATCCGCATTTTTTAACGCCCGCGCGTATGCATCGGCGACACCGGACACATTTCTCTATTTAAATCGCGCCCGTATCCTTGAGTCTCACAAAATCATCTTCTTCGGATTTTTTCAGCGCGCTTCGAGATCAGGGACGAAATCATAAAGTCCTTCGCCATTCAGCATCCAACGTTCATTCGATCGGACCTTTGAAATACCGCGGATGACTCCGTCCTTCTCGCGAGATATTCACTCTCACTTTCTCTCTCTCTCTCTCTTTCTCCCTCACTTTCCTTCTCTATTCATCTCTCTGGCGTTTTTTCTCCTTCTACTTTTCCAAGCCAACCCCCACCTGAGTGTGTGTGTGGAAAAAGAAGAATTACAGCATCCTCCTGCGACCGTCTCTGCGCTTGGCAATAATCGTCATGGACCGAACATTCTGCCTTCTCCCCACCAGTCAATCAAGTGAATCCTATAAATGCTCTTGGTTGCCCGCAGACGAAGAAGTCACCTCCCGGGACGCTCTCCCGAGTGAGGCATGTATTTGTTTTGAAGTGTCCGTGTTTATCGGTCTTCTTCATCAGTGATTAAACGCGGCGACCAAATCATGGTAAGTAACAGTGCATTGCGAATCATGTGCATAAAGTGACGTGAGAGAAGTAGGCATGCAGGATGATAGGGGTGGACTCTTCCTCATCGGAGAGTGTTAGAAAAGTGAGATACAGTGAACAACTTGGTGAAAAGTCGCTACTAGTCGAGAACCGAAATCAGGAAATTAAACTTTACGTAGTAACCCTTCACCGTTCGTCGATCTTTTATGCCGATGTTCTGGAGTTTGCAGAAATTCTTACATTTCCATACGAAAGGCACCGTGCTATATCTTGTAACAGATAAAAACGCAAAACTTGATAGCAAAAGTGATTGTTGTCATTGTTTGAAAAAATATTAAAAATGATCGACATTTGTAAAAAAGAAGAAACGTTAGATGCAAAGTTTATTGAACAAGTTTATCGAAAAAGATTTGTATAATGATAATAAATAATATCGATTTCTTATGATAAAATTTATCAAAAATTTATGCACTTATTCGTTTTACAAAATTAAAAAAAAATTTTTAATATTAATTAAATTAGAAAATAAAAATTTTTTAATATATCAAGTAAAAGTTTTATTATTTAATTGCTAAAATTTTATTTTAGAATTTTTGTTTCACCGATTTTCAATTTTTATGAGCAAGCGTTATACAAATTTTTTTAAGGTACTCTATATGCACATTTTAAGGTCATAATTTTGTCACATCGCGATAACGCAAAGAATTTGTGGTAGAAAGTATCGAACATAGCAAATGCAATAGCAGAGATGCATTGGCGATAATTTATTCCGCATGCACTCTCGCGACAATAGCGAGCGCCTGACCGTCTTCACGACTTCGATTTTCGACTTTTGCGAGTACTGTCTCTGTATGCACTTTCCTTTCTGCAAAACATTATTTTCGCCGGTAAGCCTGTTTGGTATTTGCATATAAATCCGCATGCACAGTTTGCTCGTGGGAATTAATAGTGAGATAGCTAGTTGTTGCAACAGTTGCAAATGTCAAGGGTTATTATTTTTTCATAATTTGAAAATCGCCTAGTTTAAAATTTTTTTTCTCTAATTTTCTTATCATAATAAAAAATATTCTTTCTTTTTTATTAAAAAAGATATTTAAACTAAAGAATTAGCTCAAATTAAGAGGATAATTGTTGTGCACACAAGTAAAAAATAGTATACTAATCAAAGATTGCATTAAAAAACAGAAATTTTTGTACATAAAACTGAATAAATTAAAATTTCTAAAAGCAATCCGTCAAAAATAATTCCGATCGTAATCCGAAAAGATCGCGTTCGCTTATTACCAATTTATGTAATTCTCATACTTCTGCGAACTCCAATTTAATTAATGAAATGTCTATTCTTGCTTAATGCGTAAATTAAAATGGGAATGTTCTTCTAGTTCACGTAACGTAGTAGTTTTCATCTGGCAAAGGTCAATCAGGCGGTTCCGTGCATACAAAAATTACACGCCATCAAACTGTTCGGCTCGCGTGCCATTAGAAATCTCGAGAATCTCATGGCGTAATACAACCGCATCTTCTGTTCAGTCTTCGATAAGACAAGTTACAATGTACGAGTCTCTCATCGGATCGTTTAGCACGCCCTATGCAAATTAGAGGGATTCAAGCCAAGTATAGAAGATATAGAGATCAATGGCAATTTTTTTAAGATCCTAATTTTCAGATCGCTAATTTAACGACATTTACTTCCTTTATTAGTTTCTTCTCTACATTCTATGAAAAAACAATGCTAGTATGTTAAGCATTATTTTTTATATTAAAAAAATAATAATTAAAATAACAAAGCAATCTAAAATCTTTTTTTTAAATAAAAATTTTTATTATCAAGTATTTTAGTTTTATTTATTTCAAGAATCTATTAAAATTAAAGTAAAAAATAGTGAGATATCCAGTATATGATGCTAATAAATTTCTATTACTTATGCTAACATGTGTAGCATAATTCCTCATGAGAAGCGTTAGCTCATTAAGCCTTCACGGTACAATCCCTGGATTAAGTATAGTCTGAACATTTAAAGAGTGACTACTGACTATGTAAGCGGTAGCATTAGCGAAATAATCGTGCAATAGTTTTGACAAGACGTATAATTGAAATCCTTGCTTAAATCGGCCGGAGGTTAAAGGTCGACGTGTGCATGATCATGATTAGAATTTGCAAATTACCTTATTTATACAATTAATTAATATCATTTTACACATATGTAGTTTTTTGTATTGGCAATATTAGTGTTATAATAATCTCCTACATAGTGATACAAAAATTATTTTAATTTGATGTCAAAATTGTTACAATATTTAATTAAACTCTATAAAACTGTATGATACTTGCGTGTAAAAGCTACGGATAAATTGTAGTTTGTATTGTTTACGTTATTGGCACAATTCTACACAGCGTGCGAGAACGTCGCACCTATTCGCGACACTCATCAGCATTAACGCACAAGATAATGGAAATGCATATTCAACTGCTAAGTGCATAACCGGGAGAGTCTCACGTGAAAGGTTTTTAAAACGATAAGCAAATTAGAATCGAACTTTCCGTTTCTGTCATCACACAATAATTTCACAAATATTATTAAACTTTTGTATAAACATAATATAAGCAAGACTAATTAAGATCGTATTGTGCGCATTTTGTTTTTTTCTTTCAAAATATTAATTCGATTCTATGATATAAATAAAAAATATATTGAAATGTAAACTACATAATTACAAAGAAATCTATCATTACTTAGTATTAATTATTATTATTTAAAACATTGGTTTTTATTTATTATTGCAAAGACTTAACCATAAAAAGTAAATGATAAGTTGTATTTTTTGATTAAAAAATATATACCAAATTATGACCGACGTCAATCGATTACAGTACTAATTGCCCGGATTGCAACATATAATCGTAACTTTCACTGATTTATTTGCCGCTTGGCATCTATTCGCGCTTGAATGTCAATGACTGCGCGTCATTAGCGAATCGCAAAAATGTCGTAAGTACTACAGTAGCATATGCTTGGCATGTTACGCAAACAAATCAGGCCCCGATCCCTCGCGAGAAGATATTTTTCTAAATCCTTAGATTAGTGCTTGCCAACAGAATAATCAATCGTCCGGTTGACAATTCATCACGTTCAAAATTCGCTTCTCGAAGGGATTTAATTCGGTGTCTTTACATTCTCTTTTGTCCAATTGTCACGATTTTAAACGTGGAACAATTTGCTCTCAATCATTGATCTATAAAAGCTAATATATATTATAAATAATGTGATTAAACAGCATAATGAGATAACATCAAAATCAGCTTCTATCGTCAAAAAATTGATTTTTTTGCAATTTTTGGTTTGTTTTTTATAAAATAAAAATTATTTTTAACCTTTTTAAATATTACTAATGGCACATCCTGTACCGCCTTATTTAAATGTCTATGAATACAAAGGCATACATTTAAATGTTACAACAAGATTTGCAATCAGCAACTTAAAAGATTTAACAGAAATTATTTATTGCACATAAAAGTCCAGCAGTAACTTTTTATTGCAATTATCGATAACGTTATCGATAATATATTGTTGACTGGACAGTAGATTTGTATAGATTATAAGATAGTTATAAGATAGATTATAAGATAGTTATAGTTAGTAAGCAAATTGTTGATTTATAATCGCATAAATTATTGAATTTTTGAGACAATAAATAACGATTTCAAAATTAATTAATTTGACGTAACCAAATTTGTAGCATGTTATCACGTCATATATTTTAATTAGTAAGTCTGCCAACATAGAAATGCCGATATTATTTTGATAGTTCGCCAAACACAAGAGAAAGAACTTTTGATCACTTGGCAATGTTTTTGCGGAGATATTATACTTTAAAAATGAAAGTAGCTTGAATATTTTGCTAATATTCACCTAAAATAAATGCATGCATTTATTTAAGTATATGTTTTGCAAGTTTACGGAAATTTTGTCAGTATAATCTGATCGTATTATATATTGCATATTGGCTTAAATGTAAAAAAAACTGCGATTATCAGAAAAAATTAGCGATAAAATTCTCGGCGCCATCATTAAATAAAAGTTAACAAAATTTGCATTTAAAAGGCTTTCAAATTCTTCTAAATTGCTGTAACTTTGGAATTAATGTGTTTTCGAATTTTTTATGTCTTGCGCAAAAGAAATTTCACAGAATGCAACAAATATTATAAATTTCAAAATTTTTATATCTAGAGATTAAATTTATTACATTTATAATAAATTTATAAACAGAAATATTCAAAAATAAAATTGTATAGAAATATTCGAATTACCTAAAAATTCTTTCCACAATTATAAAGTTTATCGATTGTAATCATACTTATTTTATCAAAATTTTGTTAACACTAAATATTTTTATACGAAATATTTGCAAATTTATTAGTAAAGTGTACTTTTAAGTAAAAAGATAATAAACGTTGTAAAACTTGATAGAAAAATTAGTTGAAAATCAATAACAGTTGTTCTTGGACATACTAATTGATACTCTAGCAAGCAACTTTCAATTTCTTGGCATACGTGTGGTATTTTACTTTCTGCTACTGTGTTGGTTAGCTGAGTTTCAATTTATACCTCTACATTGTACATTTATATTTTTTCAGTCACGAAAGTGATTTCATTATCCGGTGAGATCGTATAATCTTGTTTCTCTTTTCCAAACGTAATAATATTCTTTTATAATAATAAAATTTTAAAAATCTAAAGAAATATAATACAAAATAAACATATATCTAAAATATAATTCGAACTACAAATGACGAACTACACACTCTTCTAATCTTATCTTAATTTAAATTAAAAAAATATTGTTTAAGCTGCTGTCAACGCGTAATATAATCAAAGATAACAATTAGTAATTCTTTCTTGCGAAAGAAAACAACGTTACGCGATATAGAAAGCGATCTTGAAAATATTTCAGCGATCCACAATCGCTATCTATCAGTATCATAACACTCGCTTGTCAG